ATACTAAATAAGTAAAAAGTACTCCAATTTATTTAGTGAGATTCAATAGACAAATGCAGTTCGAAGTTGCTAATAGCAACTTGCTATCGATATATTTATACCATATCACAAAAAATACTAAATAAAGTCTGACTGTTACTGTTACTGGCGTTTACGGCCGTTTAGTAAACAGTTAAAAGTGATCTTTGGATCACTGTTAAGAATTACATTAGATAGATAGTAAAGGCATTTCGAAGATTATTTACAAACTTAATTTTTAATCACTGTTCTGTTTTCTGTTCTGGCTGGGCATTTGATGTCAGACTTGCTTTCAAAGATTACTCTACATGCTAGCTAAGTCGTCATTCCATTTTCAAGATCCGACTAGAGCGGAGCTTCTCGATTAGTTCAAAAACCAAAATTTCCTTGAAAATGAACACTCTGGCTCCCGTATTCTACAACGCAGAGTCCGTGCGACGCGTCCTCAACTGGCCAATGGTGAACGAGGCTGTCGAGGCTGCTCTCAAAGCAGTCGTCAAGCCGAAGGCCCCTGTCGGAGATGAGCCAATGGATGCGATCGGCAGCGAGCCGCAGTCGAATGAGAGCCGCGGCAGGTCCTACGTAAGTCAGCCAGCGCGCAACGTCACCGTGGCCAGCAATGATCCCAGCAAGCTGCTGCTGACCATGCCCGCCTTTGTGGGCAACTACCAGCTGACTGGCAACGGCGCTGGCGGGGATGCATCCAACGTTGCCCGCTCGACGCTGGCCTGCAAGGTGGTCACATCGTTCCGATCGAACCGGCTGCTGCAGCCGCCGCTGCCGAGCATCAACGCCAACATTCTGCTCTTCAATGCGCACACAGGCGAGCTGGAGGCTCTGATGGCCGGCACAGACATCACCACTTGGCGCACCGTGTCCGCCTCGCTGGTGGCCACCAAATACCTGTACTTCCGTCGCTTCGGGCCGCGCGCCGAGCAACAGCTGGGCATCAACGTGGCCGTCGTCGGCTGCGGCGCCCAGGGCCAGCTGCACGCCGCCGCCATGTGCGCCAACTTCAGGGTGGACAAGCTAACCCTCTACAATCGCACCCAAATCCGGGCCGTGCAGCTGGCCAACGAGCTGCGCCAGCGCATGGCCCACGACAGCGACAGCTGCTACGGCCCAAAGTTGCCCGACATCCAGGTCTGCGGCTCAGCCGGCGAGGCGGTCGCCGAGGCCGACGTCATCTGCATCGCCACCTACGCCAAGGAGCCGCTGATCCGTGCCAGCGATCTGCGCGAGAAACGCTCCGTCCACATCAACGGTACGTGCTGGCTGCAGTTTAGCCTAGCTACTTGTGCTTCGTGTGCTTCCACATGGGATTCGGAGAACTGCTGAAAAGATATAGCCTATTAGTCGGATCATATAGATAGGAATAGATCTGCAAGCAGCCTAGCTATGACCCATGGTCTTATTAGTCATATTAGTCTACTATCCTACTTAAGTAGTAGCCTATTGTAAACCAAGTCCATCCAGTTTAGCTGTTGCATACTTAACTATTCTTAGAGATATTAGAGATATTAAGTAATCCCATGCTCTTTGTATGCTAGAAACCCCATAACATTCTATCCTCTGGCATAGCTTATCTGCAAACTTCTTCATCAGCTTAAGTGATATGATATATCATATTTACAAGTTGTCGGAGCTTAACTATTTCCATCTAACCATCTCTAAGACTTTATATCACAAACTTCTTTATCAACTTAAATGATATGAGGATAAATTGAGAGAGCTCGATAGACTAAACTATCTCCAAAACCATATTCATATATGCATTTACTCCAATCTCAACTCCTCGCCCTCTCTCTCTCTCTCTCACACTCTCTCTCGCTCTCTGCTTTCAGCTGTGGGCGCTGGCGAGGTGCACTTTGGCGAGGTGTCCGACGATATCTATCAGGAATCTCTGGTCTATGTGGACTGCATGGAGAATGCCAGGCACGAGCTGGTCGGTCTGCCAGCGCCCATAGCCGGCGAGGTGGGCGACGTTATAATCAATGGCAACTATCCGGATGAGCAGGCTCTAACCATATTCCAATCGATGGGTAACTATGGCTTCTCAAATTTAACAATTCAATGGAATTGAATAAAAATTGCAATTATTTGTTTGGGCCTCTTGCAGGCATGGCCTCCGAGGATGCCTGTGTGGCCGAGGCTGTGCAGACGGCGCTGTTGTCCTGCGACAAGTAAGCAGAAGGAAGGAAGGAAGGAAGGAGGGAGAGAGAATTCGCAGTGAAAGACAAGATGTGACAGGTGTGGACAGGACGTGGCAATCGAAAGCCTCTGGAGGCTAACAATCTAAAATAGTTAATAGTAATAGTCAAATCTATAGATATGTTTGTATGTATGTATGCATGTATGTATATATATGTGTGCATATCCGCGCAATTGAAACACATTTGCTCGTTTTTTTTTTTGTAAATTTTTTTGTTGTTTTGTAATCATTTTAGTATTTTTT